GACAGGAAATGAGAGAACAAACTTCCAGTGTGGGCATGAAAAATATGATGCTGCAGAATCTGGAAATCTCAACAGAGCATCATACAACCCAAGGGCAACCACTAGGAGACCCACTCTCATTTAAATTTATCAGAAATTCACAAGTGATGTATCACATGTAAAGTATGGAACATGCGCATTCCAGTAGGCCTTTCTAAATTGTATCCTGTTGGATTGTAGTTACAACTTTGCTTTGTCTCTGCCTGCTTTAGTAAGATTAGAACTGAACTCCCCCCTTCCCCGCAAACCCTGATCTACTACATTGTATAAAGTGAGCTGAACCAAGCATGCTTATGAAAATAGGCAAAATTTCAGAAAAGCAGGGGTAAGCCAAATCTGGAGATAAGAACACATAAGAACATGCTGAGGTACTACCTTATGCTTAATAAAGCAAAAAGCAATAGATAAAAAGTAAAGTATTAAAGCATATAAATCAAGTCCAGATCTCTTCCTTACAATTTTTTTATTCCAGCCATTAATGTCCTGAAAATGTGCATATGGAACAATTTATTTAGTGCTGTTTAGATTCCAATGTGATATTCAATAGCCATATTATGGCCTTCGTAGCAAAAAGAAGACATATTAAATCAATCTGTTTCATTATTTTCAGGTGAAATATCTTCTACGTAAGCTTTCCTTATTATATTTTCATATAAGACCATGCATTTGTAATGCATGACATCAGACTAATTTCCCTATTGCAGCATATACACACTTTACAATATTATTTTTATGATGTAATTGACCAGGTGCTGATCTTCTCCATATCATCTAGAAATAATTTTGCTAAAGTTTTGGGAAACAGATGTTGGAGATGAAGATATGACATATAATAAAATAAAAAAATTATTCAACTGGGATGACAACAGATAATGTTCTTAAATTACTTTTAAAGCAGAACTAAAGCTAGAGTAGTGCAATGATGGCACAGTAAAACTCCTGCTGCGTAAATGGGGGCACTGGGCAGAGAGAGAGAGGTGGCTAGAAAGAGGAGAGGTAAGGACATTCAGAAATCAGGATGAATGCTGTGCTGCTCTGGAGCACAACCCTTTCCCCTTTCTATGTTCTATAATGTTCATCTGCAGCTCAGTGTTTTCTTGGATTGGATTAGGCTTTGAATGAATTATTTATATTTTGAGGAAGGGCACTATAGAAATCTTTTACATCAAGGATGGGCAAGATTTGAAGTATCAGGGGCTGCAACTCACAATCTTCCAAGGGCTTGCAGAAGGTCATCTGGTGATATGGTATTTTCTTTTGGTGGAGGGAAAACTTAATAAATGAAAATGGGAGCAGGAAGCCCTTGGGAGGCAAACCAGTCCTATTCCCACCCTGAACCTATTTTTTGGGCTGTTTTTCCATGATTTTTTGTGGGGCGATTAAGGATTATAACATATTTATCTACCATTCCCACTCCCATACAGGTAGTCCTTATTTAATTTCCACTGGTTCGAAATTACAACAATGCTGAATGAGGGGTATTTATGATGGGTCTTTGTAGTTGCAGCCATTGCAGCATCCCTGCAGTCACATGATTGTAATTTGGGGCTTGGCAACTGGCTCGCAATTATGTCGTAGCATCCTACAGTCATGTGATCGCCATTTGCGACCTTCACTGCTGGCTTCTGACAAGCAAAGTCAATGGTGAAGCTGGCAGGAAGCCACAAGTGGTGATCACATGACTGTGGGACGATGCAACTATGTGGGATTCTCCTAACAATAGCAACTGGGATTGCTGGAACTGCTGTTGCCTGTCAGTGCGGTTATGTGATGTCGTGCCTTATGATTGCTTCACTTAGCGATGGAATTCCCAGTCCCATGTACTGTTGGGAAGCAAGGACTACCTGTATTTAATTCCTCCAAACCCTGGAAAGCAGTCCCAATTGCCCCCCCCCCAATGGCTATTTCAGGCCCTTGGATGATAGCTGATGTATTTAATCTTTTTCAGAAAATACCCCGCCCATATTTTAAAAAATATGAAAATCCATGCCTCTGAAATTTGCCCAATTTGCTATCGCATTTCAGTGGTATGATCTCAAGATTCTGGGGTCAAGCGGTGTTGAGAGAAGATTTCATGCAGTCATCATCTCATCTGCTACCACAGGAGAGAGCCAGAACTCTACACCTTCATCAAATCAGGGCACCGAGCCAAGATATCTCAAAGGGTTACTTGTCTCTTTGCTTATGGGAATAATGAGAAGAATTTCTAGGGGAAATGGGCACAGAGAATGGCCTTCAGGTTAAGGCAAAGATTTAATTATTACACGTAAAGCAAAATTTCCCATGAAGTCACGCACTCTGTATGCTTGACCTGTCCTTCAATTCGGGGAAAGTTTCAGAACAAAATTCTTGTTTTCATCCTATTTAGGGGAGGGCAATGTTCAACACTTTGAAGGCTTGTGGTGAGAGAAAATAGCCAGTATGGTACTGGGCTTTGTGTTCAGCTATTATTGGGGAGAACTGGATTAAAATCTTTACTTGGCCATGAGGCTGATCAGGTGACCCTGTCTAGTTGCCAACTCTGAGCATAATAGCCCTTCCTACATGGGGGAAGGACCCTGTCCAGCCATCTTGCAGAAAAGCTGGGAAATCAAAATTAGTAGAAACAGTATAACATGTATAAGAACAAAGAGTGGTGGAAACGGTTTCTCAGTTGTGGTATTTTTTCAGGTAGAACTGCAATCTATTTTCACAAAGGTTGTATTAATCATATTCTGTAGTATTTTTAGACCACTATTTCCTGCAACTGTTACTTGTATTTCATTTTAGCAATGCCCTCCTCACTTAAAAAAGAAGAAATGAAAGAGGAAATACATACTAGGAATAATTTATTCCTTGTCCAGAATATGGTTCCTACACTTTTGGAAGTTCATGTAAAATGCATCTTGCCATAATTTTTAAATTAGAGGCCATGAAATGTCAACTTTCTGGTTCACAGTAAAACACTTGTATACAGTAGTCTGTTTCACCATATCAAGAACCTAGTCACTTTCCCTCCCTCCAATCACCTTGGGTATATTGTCCATGTGAGAGCAGACAGCACAGACACAGAAATCACAGCAAAGTCAGAAACAAACTTTCAATCGTGGGTCCTGTGCCTTAAAGACCACCACTTCTTTTGAGGCTGCTTCGAATATGGGATGTGGCAACTTGGGCAGTGTCTTATCACTTAACCCCTAAGAGCTGTGAAAAGAAATGTTTAAAAAGCGCCCTCTTCTCTGCATTACTGGCTGTTCCAGAAATCAACGTGGGAGGCACAGGTGGGGGTAGGCCCATAGCCAGAATTCTCAACCTTGTTGTCGTAGTTGAGACCTGGCAAGTATCCAGAAATGCAGCATTTTCTCTCTGGAGCCAGCAGAGACAAAATCCCAATGAACTGGACAAGCTTGCCTAAAAATGCCTCAGCAAGGACAACTCTGCCTTACTAGTTCCTGAAACCTTTGTATTTCATTAATGCTCTGCAACTTTCAAATACAATTCCTTGTTCTAGTCTGTCCCTGCTACCAAATTTATTCCAGCCTGGCACTCTTTTTCATTCTTTCCCACCCTCCAGGTCTGCCAGCTCTAGGCAGAGAAAGCGAAGGAAAGACAGACGTGAGAGCTACCAAAATTAAATCCCTCTTTAGGAACTATACAACAGTTTGTTAAAGTTGCTTGGCTGAAACTCTATTCTGTTCCGTGGGGAAAGGGAAGGAATTCATCACTGCTGCCTTCATCTAGTAAGCTGATTTCAGAGCAGTAAGGTCATGCTAGGGTTAATAAATCATCACGTGAAAGTCCAAAAAAAGATTTGATAAAAGCAATACTATGGAATAGTAGGCATCCTGTTTCATTTTCTTTTTTACTTTTCAAACATCAGTCTATACATATATAAATATGAATCTACAAACATAAAACATGTTCCTAAAAATATATCCCTGTAAAAACATAAGGACCTAAATTCTGTAATTCCAGAAAAGAAAACTAACAAGCATTCCTAAAATTTGCACAGAACACAATCTTCAAAAAAAGTAACTGAGTTATGATCACTCAGTTCATATGAGAACTGGGAAGTGGGAAATGGACAAAGATGCAACCTCGGAGCTTCTGCTTTCCCAAACAACAGTGACTGTGGTATTTGGTAACCCCATGGCTTGCTAATATGGACTTCATAAAGTGCTTTGACATCTCCATGGAAACAAAAATCAAGGTCATAAATAAAGGATTAGCTCCTCTTAACAGACAGCAAAGCAAAAAAAGGCAACAGGAGGTTTAAGTTCCCCCATTAAGGAACTAGGTGAGAAAGCAGGATGGAGAGGAGAGGGAAGACTGGAAGAGAGAAAGGGCAAACTTTAGGTGAACTACAAAGTGTAGACAAAGAAAAAAAATATTTTTTTAATTAAAAAAAATTAAAAAAAGAAGGGGGGGAGAGAGAGAATGAGCACCTCCTCTGTTCATTCTGCTACCCACTGATACTAATAAGCTAGCCTATCTAACTTATAGCTCATATCAGTGTTGGTCAATTGCCAAATGATTAAAAATTGACAATAGATAGGAAAATTAAAGGGGGGGGGAAATGGAGAGAATGGAATCATAAAGACTAAAAAAGAGCTGGAGTTTGTCTAAAATATGATTAATATGAAACAAATGATGCCTATTTTTCTACCATACCTTTGTCCAGATATCCTGTCTACTTTTTAGATACAGCAACTAATTTCTCTGTTCCAATTATTCTCAATTATTTAGATGTGTGTCAATCTCATTCTTTCTTTTTAGAAAAACTAGCAGGATCTGAGCATTCGTTATATATAGGAAAATGATCAACTAAACATAGGAGATGAGTGGACTCTGATACCCATATCTTAGAGACACTTCAACTCCAACGTGAGGGAAGTTATATTCCACAAACTGGACCATGGATATATTTGTTGTCTTCAGTCCACCCATTTTACTTCTAATAATTTTTCCCCCCCACTTAGTAGTCAAAGAGCAACTGACCTGTTGAGGATTTGCTTGGGTTTGGGAACAAAACCTTCAGGAAGTTTAGGTTTATGATCTGGCAACAAACCTAAAAATGGGGGGGATGGGGCGGGGGAGAGAGAAAGGAAGAAAATTAGACAATTTCCTAAATATGCATCCAATTCTAGTACTACTTAAGTATGTAACTTGGGTTCTGAACTCAAAATACAGTTAGCCGACATCTTCAATCAATGGAAATCTTGTATCTTGTGTATTTTCAAAGCACAAAAATCAACTGCAAATGTTTTTTATTTAAGGTGTCTAAAATCATATGGGTTAGTAAGTTGATCTCATTGTAGCAATTTGATTTTATGCAGAATCTTGCTATGCCTGCTATAATCCCCCAGATTTCTAGCCTCCATTTATTACCAAAATGTTGCTGACTTTTAGTCCCTCACCTTAGGGCAGTATCAGGCCATGCTCCAATATAGTAACTTTCTGTCTCCTCCTTATATCTTGCACAAGGGAGTAAGATCAAAGATCAGCAGAGGAGGACTACTCTGCCTCAATTTGCTTTGTAACATGATCTCTTGCAAAGCATCTATTTCCTTAAGCCGTTTGTTGATGTATCTTGTTATGGATTGCTAAATGCATCGTACACCACAATGACTGCAAAGATCTATTCTCGAAGTTTAACCCTAAACTGTAGAACTGGAGCTCTGCTGTAGGGATGCTTGCAAGCTGAAGAAGCAGCTGGAGAAGTAAACACCATAGAGAATGACATTTTAGAGCAATGTTTCTCAACCTTGGCAACTTTAAGATGCTGGCTGGGGGAATCCTGGGAGTTGAAGTCCACACATCTTAAAGTTGCCAAGGTTGAGAAACACTGTTTTAGAGCAACTGAGACTCAGTTATTTTTTGCAGCTGGCTATTACCCAAGAAAGCCACACAAAAGCAAAACAAGGTAGCTCCCAACCAGAAGTAGTTACCTGCTCGGTGAGCCATTTGCACACAAACGGCAATCTTTTGGTGCTCTTCCTCACAAAGGCCTGTGATTCTACGGGGTATCATCCCTCCTTTAGAGTCTATGAACTGACTTAGCAGTAACACATCCTGAGGAAGCAAAAGGAACAAACTCAGCATCAGAAGTACCAGTATCAATTAAGCTTGCAAGCGAGGGGGATGCAAAAGCTTCTGAAAAGCATTACAAAAGTAGCCATTTGAATGTTTCGGCATAAACCATTTGTGCATCACTGCCAGGTATTTTGCCCTACCCCCTATGCTAAAATTACTCCCTGACAGTGCTTAGAAATGACACATGAACAGTCAAAAGTGTGAGGTTTTTGCTATGAGCAAGATCTTCAGTTTTCACAGTATTATTTCTGAATTAGTGTGAGACTTCCTATAGAAAAGGAATGAAAATATAAAGTGAACTTGAGGATGCTCTAATTTTCTAGATGCCTTCTTTTTTTCCCACCATTATATGATTTTTCTTGAGGTTTTTCTTCAAAAAGACAAGAAATGCAGCACTGCAACCTATCTTGGAGTGCGTTCCAGGGCATTCAGCTAATATCCTCAGGCAATGATTATCAGGCAAAGCAAGCCACACGAAGCATTTCTAGATGTCCTTGGGTGAAACTATAACTAGAATATTTAGGTAACAAAATTACTGAACTAAAAACGTTATACTGAACTAAGACAAAACAACAAGCAATGAAGTAATTTAAAACTAAGTAAAACACATTAGCATAGCAGCATGAAAACTATGTTCCATGAGACCTTTCCACGCTGTGTATAAAAAATATAAAATCCAAACATGGCATATTTGGAAATGCATCTATTACACAGGCTTATTTGTCAGATTACTGAGTTTGGAGTCAAAGCAGCCTGAAGAATTAGCAATTATGTAAGCTATTCACAAGACAAATTAATTTACTCAACTGAAAATAACCCTTGAGCAATGTTAGATCTCCCTTTTATTCCTCAGATAAGCTAATATTTGAAATTCCAGAATTATAGTACACATTTTTCATGTTTATTTTTCATTGTATTAGTTGGTGTTGTGTATCTCAATGAGTTCTACCTAGTATGTTTATAAAATGATTGGCAAGCAGCTATTGCTTTTTTCCGCTGTGTTGTAACCTCTTATGCAAAACCAATGAAATGAACTGACAGAAAACTGTGTATAAGCGATAGTGTATTTTGAGCAACATACATTTAATATACAAAGATCTGAAATCTTATACTTTTGTTCAACCCACATAACTCAATTACACTTCAGTAAACTTTTTGTTTAAGTACTGATTTTGTCCGAGTAACTTTTAAGAGGGAGATACTACTTCTGCATCCATACGATTTTATGTCAGGTTCTTATCAAGAACTCCTGCAGCTGTCTCAAAATCTTATTAAATATGCACAACGCATGAATGCCTAATTAATGCTTATTACATTTGCATTCCGTTCTTCCATGATTCCCAGCATCTTATATGACTTAAAAACTATAATAAAATCAAAACAATACAACAATCTGCAAATTAAAAATCAATAACACAGAGGTCTGGAAAAATGTAAGTTTTTTTTTTTTTTTAGTGCCAATGAAGTATTGAATCAAATTTGGTGCTAGCTGAATCTCCTTAAGCATACTGTTCCAAAGTAGAAGCACTTTCACTGAAAAATACCAATCTTTGGTCAGCAATTGATTCCCCTCTGAAAATAGTGGCACCTGGAGAATAATTTTCAAGGTAGATCTGAAGCATGTTTATAAGGAAGAAAATGGTCCTTAACTTATTTTGGTTCAAAGTCAAATTTTAAAAATTAAAATTATTAGTTTGAATTAGACTTAAACTGGACCAGGAGCCAGTGCAGCATATAATTATTTATTCCATTATGCTTATAAAGTATGTTCTCTCTGTATTACACTGTACATTGATAAATTTGGAATCCAACAGTAGATGTGAATCCAAAGATTAGATATCTGATTGAAATCTGAATTCTATTTCCTCATTTAGTATAACTGGTTGTGCATCATTCATGTCACCAGTAAAAAGCTAGTATCTCATTATCAGGTTTTTAATCAGTATTATCTCATTTATATCCCACCTTTTACTGAGAGGGCACTCTCACCAGCATAAACATTCTTATAATCTCTTACAGTTTTTGCTCTGAGCTTGGTGCAATGAAGAAGAAGAGGAAGCAGAGAGACGAAGAGCAAGTAAGAGATGTGAAAACAGAGTTTGAAGCTGGCAAAGATGGGAATATTATGGGATATAGTACTGCTGCCTCTCTGTTAGGAATCTTGCCTCATTATATCTCTTCCTTCATCCCTCCCTCCTTCCCTTCCTTTTCTTTCTTATAAATTTTATTAAATTTCCAAAAGGTTAAAATACAAGAAAGTAAAAAAGAAAAGAAAAGAAAAGTCAATTAAAAAAGGCATAGAAAAAGAAAGGTAGCTTCCGACTTTCCTTGGTGCAGGTAGAAATGTAAAATATATTTACTTCTTACTCCAGTATCTAAAAATTTACATAGTAGAAAATAATTTTTAGTCTAACATTCAAAAAAATTCATAAAATCAATCTATTTCAACAATACTGTACATATGATTTGTATAAGATATTTCTATAGGTAATATCTTCTGCTTTCTAAATCTTCAGCATACGGTACCTAGACATTTCCCTTAGAAATAAAAGCCAAGAAGTCTAGCAAGGCTTTGTTTATATTTGGGTTGTGAGAAGGGTAGAAATACGTAATACTAGAATTTGTCCAGAAATGAGGTAAGCTTCAACACTGATCGGCAACATAAAACCAATATTAACTTTCTTAAATATTATTACTAACAGAAGCTATACTACATTAAAGTGATTTCTGTAGCTGGATTCTTAGCATTAAGAATCCAGTAGAAATAGAGCCATTTCGGAGGTTCATGTCCCCAGCTGACCACTGAGCTCTTTGTATAGCTTGTGATCCAGTCACGCTCTTAATACAACCTATCTGAGAGAGTAGTTGTGGAGATAAAGTTATGTGAAAACTAACGCAACTAACGGCATCAGAGAAAACGCAAATACATAAATAAATGTTTGATGATTCTCTGTTCTACCAAATCAAATAGCTTTACTCAGAACAGAACAGGCGTACAAGCTCAATGTTACTTTGAATCCTTATGTGCACATTTCAACACCAAGTATACAGAACTGCCTAACATGATAGGCAATGCTTAATTTCTTAGGATTAGGAATCTACCCTAAGGTTATTCTCATTAATGACTCAATGATTACTAATCTGGCAAGATGATATATATTGATAATGCTAAAAATAAAATTGGAACTGAAAAAACATATTCTTAGTAGATATAATTCCAGAAAATATAAATGAAAATAATTAGATGAACTCCACAAAATATTTAGTAGTTGCTTTTTTTTGTTCTATCCTATTTTTCTTTTCTTTTTCTTTTGTATTTAATTATCTTAACAATAAAAATATTTTTAAAAGATAATGCTTCTCCCTGGTTATTGGATACAAGTGCATGTACCACCAGGGAAAATAAAGGAAGAATGCAACATCCAGTGCTCCAAAGACATTTACTTCAGATGATTTATGGAAGTTGTTGGGCGACTTCTGGTGAGGATTCATGGTGAACTAGATGTCTCTGAAGGAGCAGAAACAGCACTGCAGCGAGATCGGCGACCAGACAGTGTTTTCTGGCTGGCCGAGCCTCTCCGGAGAAAGGAGAAGTCATGAGATTGCCCATTTGCACTCCAGAAAGCTCTTCCTCATGAATAAACTCCGGGAACTGAGGTTTATGCAGTCAGCTTGTGAGTGGAACGGCTGGGAGCTGAGGGATTTCCACCAAGCTCACAACTGCAATATAGCCTTATGGACACAAAGTTCTGTTGAACTTCATTTCTTAATCACTTTTGGAAATTGCTTCTTAACTGCTTTTCAACTATTAAGAACCTTCCAATTGACAAGTCTGATAACATGTGGCAGGTGAGTTCACTTTAATCCTTAGCAAAAGAAGTTCTAAAGATAAGCTTAAGGACATTTTAAAAACCCTCCTTTTTTTGGAATAAACAGCAAGAGGGTGATTAGAATGTTGCTTTTGGAAAGTTATAAACAAACTAAGGGTCCAGATGGATTTGAAATAAGACTTTGAAATTAATCATAAGAATCCTTCCTGTGGGAAAATGCTGTTTTGAATTCTTAAAAGAAAATATGATAGGATGGGAAATTGAACATTGTACACTAGAGGGAACCAGAAGGAACTAAAGATTACAATTAAAGGGGAAGAACACTTAACTTTGACTTAGTAATACAGAATAGAGCAAAATATTTTAACATTGGACATACCGAAGGACATTTTTGAACAATGGACTCAGAAGTTAATTTTAAGAGCGTCTGCCTCTATAGATAGACTGTGTTTAAAAGATGTTTTGGAAGAGGAACAAGTTTTACTGGACAAGACTGAGATCAATCTGAAAGTGGTTTTAAAAATGACAAGCTATAAGAATGATATGGAAAAAGATGCTACACTGGATATGCAAATGAAACTGGCTGATATCTTAATAATTAAAAGGGATATACAAATGGCAAACCAAAAGAGTGACTTGGATAACTTTCTTATATTGGATTTACAAAAGCATCTTGTTAAAGTTCTGAAGGATTTTGTGGGAAGGGACAAAGAAAAAAATGAAAACAAGCTCTAGAACATTATTAGTTGTGTAGCAGCTTTGGAAAACCTTGAAAGAAGCGGATTATCTGGATCCCTTTCAGTCTGGATTCAGGCCTGGGTATGGGACTAAAACAGCATTGGTTGAACTTTTGGATGATCTCTGGCGAGGGTGGGATGGGGGTTGTGCATCCATCCTTGCCCTACTTGACCTCTCTGCGGTTTTCAATACCATCAACCATGGTATCCTTCTGGACTGGCTCAGAGGATTGGGAGTGGGCAGCACAGTGTTGTGCTGGTTCACTCCCTTTCCCCAGGGCTGATTCTAGTTGGTGGTAGTTAGGGAGGAGAGATCCTGCCCTCAGCCCCTACTATGTGGGGTGCCACAGGTTTTGGTACTCTCACCTCTCCTATTTAACATCTACATGAGGCCGCTGGGTGAACTCATCCA